ATGAGCATCACACCTCGTGCTCCCTTTTCCATGGGTTTTGTGCAGCATCACTGCACCTTTCCCACCCCGAGTCCCCCCACACTGCTCATCGCTGCCAAGAGTCTCTGTGCTGTGCAGAGTATGGCCCCTGGCTTCTGCAGCACTTGCAGGAGCCCACCTAGGTCATCCACCGCTTCCTACATGGTGCCGTGGGCTTTAAGCTGTCACACAACCTGTCCTCTCAGAACGAGGACCTCACAAGAGCCAATGCACGGGCACACATCTGTTAGCTGATTCACTACATCAGATGCCTGTTTCACCTTGTGTGCTGAGACTTCAGAGGCAGATGGCAGATTGCACCAGCAGAAACCACAGTCCCCTTTTCAGGAAAATTAAACTCACTGCAGGCCTCTTTTGCCAAGTAATTTGTTGCTAAAAGCTGTGTTCACTCTTCCTCTGCCTTGGTGGGGACAGACCTGGATTTTGGAAAGCACCATATTAACCTGCTTCATGCAGATAGCCTGATTCATGTTCATCTACTACTGTGGAGTAGTACTATTCATGGAAGGCAGTGAAATTACACACGGCAGTACTAAGCATGAAGATTTGTAAAATGTGGAGCTTCTGCTTCTAAAATATCGGTGCACTCCTTTTTGGGTTAGGACTTCTGCACTGAGATGTCCTCAGAATTGGAAAAAAAACCACCAACCCAACAGCTGAAGGTTTGATGCCCCATTATATGGGTTTGATGCCACCTCGTGGTACTTTCATGTCCTGATTTGCAAGGGAAGATTTTCACTCTTGGGATGTTTCCCAAAGCATGTTCCTTATGAAAGAGAAAAGCAGTTTGGAGAAAGGATGAAAATATTACAGATGTCCTGCTCTGCCCTTGCCCTTCACTGCTGATTTGCAGCACTGCCTCCAAACAGCATCGTTAATAAATGTTAGCATGAACTTAAAAAGCAGGGATTGCAAATTATACTCAGTAAGGTTATGCAGAAATACCTTCAGGGTAGGGATATGGCCATTAGAGAATATGCTGAGATGTCCTGACATAAAACTTGAGCCATAGTTGCCTCGACATCTAAGGACCTCAGACAAACACTTCCACCCAATTTGCAGCTAGATTTGCAGATCTGGAGAAGCTCTTTCCTCCCTTGGAGAGCAACTTCCTTCTCCAGCCCCGTAGTTATTATATTGCGCTAAGAGTGTAATAAAGAACTGTCCCCCTTTTAAAAGTGGGACAGGAGAAGTTACAAAGACTGGTACCACTATTTCAACTGAGGATTGGTTCTTTGAAGAGAAAATTGGCTCTCCTACCCTCTCAGTAATTTAGCCTTATGACAGCAGACAATGATTTGCCAGGAAAATTCGCAGAGCATTTCAGCCTTTCATCCAGTAAATGGCCTATATTGCTTTTATTTGCCCTTTAAACTGTGGAAAAGATACCATTTTACAACTGACTGAACGCATTCTTCAGACATTATAATATAAAACTATCATGTTTATTGATTGAATAATCATGGACTATGTAAAGATTGTAGCAAAATGACTCCCTATTGCACACTTTTTTTCCTAGCCTCAGGCATCCTCATATTCGAAATGGCATCACATCAGACCCTGCAGAAACGCTAGATCCTGGAGGCAATATAGCTGGGATGTTGCTGCAGCTGAGCTAATTACGCTTGGGTTTCAGCTTGGCTAATTAACTTCCATGTAGCCCTATAATATCAGAGTCATTTTGTTTTCAATTCTGGAACTATCTTGGACAGTACTAGTCTGGGGGGAAAGAACCTCTGCAAACCACTCAGCTCCTCTGTGCAATGTAGGCATATGTCATTTTGTTGTCTATCTAGATGAAATTACTTTTGCAACAGCATGTAATGCAACCTTTAGCATTTAGGTGCTTGTCTGCAACTTGTTCACCAGACTGAACACATTCTGAATGTCTAAATTAAGCTGTTTGTTAACCCATTCACTAGCTGAAGACATTAGACTGGATGCTACGTTTGTATTTGTTTATGTCACTTTCTGTTAAGTCCTATTTGACTGAAAGTTTTCATCTTTGCTCTTTTCTTAAAATCTGCACGTTTGAATCTGACCACAATCCATGTACAAATTAGGGTGGAAAAATAGACTAGCTCTAAAAAGACTTTCACAAATGCCCATCTGAAAAGGCTTAAAAGGCTGCAGTTGCTGAGAAACAGGACATCAATGAGCGATAAGCTGTGTAGCAATTAATCCTCTTTCTCTCACAAATGGACTTGAAAACGTGCAAGCTGATATTTGCCTAATTAAAAGGTATTTTTCAGCAGATTTTCAGTTTTGCCAGGGGAATGTTGCTGTTGACCGTGGATGTATTGCTTAGATGCTATGGTCTCAGGCCCTTGAATCTCTTCATAAGAGGGACCAACACTTTGACTGAAACTTGAGCTAGTGTAGCAACAGCTCTTGCCTCCAGAAGAATCACAGGTTTGGCAGTATGGTGAGTAAGTGTTACTCCTTTGTTGAGTTTTGCTTAAATCACAACAATCAAGGCAAACAAAAGACCTTCACTGTATTTACCCTCACTTCCACAGCCAACAGATGTGAAGGGAGCAAAGAGGCATTCTGATTTAGGAGAAACACAACCCTCTGCCTGCTCGTTCAGTGGAGGAAGAGGCATGATAAATAAGGGAAATCCAGCTCAGGCGCTGGCAACAGTGATTAAAACATGCACTAATCAGACCTTTCCTCTGTAGGGACCGACTCTTAATTGTGTAATGCCTTTGTGAGGAGGGGCAGCAGTGTTTAGGACGGCGTATCCAACTTGGCATTAGCCTGCCTGTTGAAGAGGGTGCAGGTCCCACTCCTGTCCATCTGCCAGCTCTGGGGAGGGGCTGCAGACACCACAGGCTTTTGAAGATCTTGCCAGACAGCCGAATTTAGGCAACGCGAATCCCACTGCACACCGGTCAGCCTCTGATCTGGTTTGTCTGTCAGTGATAAAACCATCTGGATGTTCTGCCATCTGATTCCAGAGAGGACAAAACAGGCGGAAGTTTACTGCTTGTGAAAATCTCAACTCCCACCTCCCTGTGCCCATCCAGGTTTTGGTTATAACCTGTCTCTGAAATATAACCTTCCCCATGCCCTGCCTTTCTCTGCTGCTGCAATGTCTGGAAAGATTGGGATCTACCTGAGGAGACTCTGCACCGCAGATCACCTATGACTCAAGGAGCATCTCCTGCTGGTATTTTAGTTCTCCGTGGGGAGCTGATTATTCATGTTTTGTTTGCTGGTTCAACTTATTTTTAGTTGACAGAAACAGCTGTGAGGGGGAGAAGAAATAAGGAACAAAAGCTGACAGCATGATTAACTCAAAACACTTCTCAATTAAAAGAAGCTAAATATTCCCCGTGCTCCTGGTACAGCTTTTCCACATCAGCAGCTGTGCTCCCCAGGAACATTATGCAGTTTTACAGATGGAGGTGGAGGTGGATCTGCATGGGAGAAAGCCTGTCCACAGCAGCTCCTCCCCCACGGTCACTGCACAGGACTGCGGGTCAACGTGAGGTGCTGACAGTCCCAGCACAACCAGCACGGTGGTGTGAGCTCAGACAAGCCATCTAGCCGCCCGAGCTCAGCCTCCCCAACCATAAAACAAGATCACTGGTGAGATTTCAAAGCTATCCCAACCCTTGCAAAGGCGTATGCACAGAGAAGCATCCAGAAGTTCATGTTTTACTGATGAAAAGCACTTGTGAAATCTAGGGTTGTCCTTAAATAAAACTCATACACACTCTGCCAGGAAGAAACCTCAACCGTGCTGGGATTCACAATGTTTATTCAAGGTACACAGCATCGGGAAAGTTGCCAGCCACCACAAATTGCGACATGGTCATTTTATGTCCCACGAAACGACAGCTCCTCTTCTTGCTGCTCTGGTCTAAAAGACTCACAAAAGTCTTCAGGTGAGCTAAAGCAATAACTGATTTTCCCTACGTTGCTTGCTTTGTCTGCCAGCCTTTTGGATACACCTCCATTGCTCTCTGCTCTTTGCCTTCTGAGGATCAGTGCTTTCCTCTGAATCCTCGACTCAGGTTTGAACTTTGACTCCTAATTGTTTTCCTAATTCCCCCTCACCCTCATGCAAGGCCATGAAGGGGCAGGAGCAGGGCTCGGTGCCGTGGAGGTACGGGGCGATGCTGCAGCTCAGGGCATCAGAAATGGACTCTGTCTGGGCAGCCCTGCTCCTTCCTCCAGCAGGCGTGTCCTCCCTGCTGCTCTTCCTCCAGCACTGACACCCTTAGGCCCCAGATACTCAGGGTGGAAATAAATTAGGTGGAAATAAGACACAAGAGCTCCCTCAGCAGTTGCCTGGTGTAGCTCCGTTGGCCTGGCAAGCCTCGGTGCCAGAGCAGGTGGCTGTGGCTGAGTGGCACCGCAGAGGCGCAGAAGGCTGCCGCCGGCTGGGGCCTAGAGCAGAGAAGGGAATCACGGCCCATGGGGGACCCCGGGCCACCGCTGCGGGCTCCCACCTCCGCGCTGGGCCCCTGGGTGACAGAGCCGGCGGGAACACGGCCCCGGCCCCGAGGGAAAGGCCGCGCAACCGGCGCCCGCTGCCATGGCAACGGCGCCACACGGCGGGGCAGGGAGGGTGTCCTTGCGCCGCACGCATGCGCCGCAGCCGCCGTGTCCGCGAGGTGCTCGAACCGCCAACTGCCCCAATTCGAATTCGCATCCTCGGCGCCCAATCAGAGCCCGCGGGGCGGGGAGGGCACCGCCTCTCGCCGGCCTTCCGACCAATCACGAGGGCTGTTGTGTTTAAAAAAAAAGTGCGCGCGGCTGGTAGGCGTCGCTCAGAAGAGCTGGGCCTATCGCGGGCGGGAGGAGCTCCGGCCGCCCCAGGGAGGTGCCTCGGTCCCTGACCCTCGCTGAGCGGCGACGGGGCATGGCCGAGGGCTGGGGCGTGTCCTCCTGCGGGAAGCCCCGCCTCCCCCCGGCCGGTTCGGTCCCGCCCCCCGGCGGCGCCCCCTCACTCGGAGCCGGTCTGAGCGCGGCGGCCGGTGGTCTGCGCTCGGTCCCCGGGGGCGCGCCGCGATGAAGGCGGGCGGTGAGTGCGGACCCTGGCCGCGGGCTCCGGGGGCGCCGCTTCGTCCCTCTTCCTCCCTCCCGCTCGGCTCTGAGGGCCGCCAGCGGCTCCGCGGCGGCCTCTTCCCCCGGCGCCGCGCCGGGCCCTCTCTTGTGGGGGCTCCGAGGGCGGTGGGGGAGGCAGGGCCGCG